TCTTGTTCGTAAGCCAAATGAATGATTTCTTCAGGTATCATTATTACCACTGAAGCGATCTTGTTACTCTATCAAGTACAAATATAAGATAAAATAATTAATAGGTAAATGTTATAAGCTAAAGAAGAAAAAAGAAACCAAAAAGAAAAACCATCGAAACATTTAAAGAATGAACATATTGCTAGAAATACTCCGACAAATAAAAATTTGTCATGACTCAAAATCAAGGATGTGATGATTCAACAAATGCGTAACCAACGAATTTTAAATATTTTAACCCAAATCATACGGGTGGAAACTTACATTTATTTTACTTGACCTTATGGCACAACTATAATTGAAATAATAGCAGTGAAAGAAGTTACATAATAGCAAGGGGTTGGGTTTCGTTAGTAGAGCTAGGAAAGTTACGACTAGATTAGACTAAACAAGACTTAGGTCTGAAATTTCATGTCTTTTCTTCCACTACCTATAAAAATTTATTCTACAGATCTAATAGGTCACTAATAAGTCTAATAAATTCTAGATAAAATTCTAAAATTCAAAATGATGCATAAATCCTGAAGTTTAATTAATTAAAATGAGGAAAACCTAATATTAATTATTTATTGATTTAAAAAAAAACAAGACTTTATCTTATCTCCTTCTAAGGTCACATAGTTATTATATTAATCACATATTTGAAAAACAATTAAGAAGAAAAAATTCTATGACTATATCGTGTGTTTTACCAAACTAAATGGGGAAATGAAATGTGCTATCATTTCATAGAGTTCAACAACACCTACCAACCAATCTATTACCACAGAATAATGATAATTATGGAATCAAGAATAAGGTAGATGTTAATCCCCATGTACATCAAATGTAGAGTTATGCTTGTGCATGAATATGGCATCACAATCCACCAAAAGAAAATAATTTATTTCAAAAAAATTCTTCATTAATTTCTTAATCAAAATCCATCAAGATTTCACCTTAAATTGATAGAAAAATATAAGTACATGAAACCAGAATTAGCAAGGATTTCTACCCATTCTTTAAGCAGTATTATGCCTCATTCGAGCACATAAGTAGAGAAAATTGACTCAGCCTGAACCAAAAAGCTGAACAAAATTAAACAACGTAATATATATTGGGCTGATTGAGACTATTTATAATATAAAAATATCTTAAATGACACATTAAAAGGGTATTTTTCCAAGGGACACATTCTTTCAATAAGGTGATTATTGACTAATTTACAAAATTTTGATTTTCAGAAAACCTCTATCATAAGAAAGCATACCTTCGAATTGGAATGTGTATTATATATAGGAAAAACAGATGGGATACTCCGTGGAGGAAAGTCATAATAGACAATTATATTGTATATTTATTATATATAGGAAAGAAAAAAAATCCCATCAATATGTTCTCCTCTAAAAATATCTCATATATAGGAAACGACATAACTTCCAAAATAGCTCCCAAATCAAATTATCATTAGTTGCATGTTATGAGAAAAAGAAAACTGAAAGAGTAATTTCAGAGTACCATACTCTAAAAGAAAAAAATACAAGCAAAAAATAGCTTTAAAATGTGATAAAATTTAACATGTATTTTTTATAAAGATAATGTCAAGTATGGTTGTATGTTACGAGGGATGAAGTATATACAATGAAGCTTGAATCCATGAGGTGTTGAATATCATATTTTGATGATGAAGTCAATTATTATTTGGTTATCTAATCTGTATGCTGAGATAAGTGTGCAGGATTAACCATGATGACAGTAAGACATGCAGTAGGTGTTAAGCCGGAGTCAAGACCAAGATCACGTTGGGGGTTCGAGACTTCGTCGGAGGTTCTGAGGGAACAATCCGAAAAGTCTAGGAACTTGCCAAAGAACCTCGTCGGAACTTGCCAAGAGGATCGTTGCAAGTCCAAGAGTTTGTCGGGAGTCCACCGGAGCATCGTTGAGGGTTCGTCGGATGTTCGTTGGAAGTTCACCGGAAGCTTGCCGGAAGAAGCGATTGACGCACCGAAACACGATCTGCAGTATTGATGTCTTAATTGTCGTAGTTAGCATGTAGATTAAGTTAGGATTGGGAGGTGATCCCATTAACTTAATCTGGGGCCAATTGGGCCCTTGGTAGACCCAAATTGGGCCGAATGGATCAGCTCATTCGGACCCAGAATTCTTGGCCGGCGGTGGCACCGCTCAGGAGACTCGGTCTCCCAGGAGTTCTGGGTGGTAGTACCGCCTGAGCTCGGTCTTCGAGCAATGTCAGGTGGTAGTACCGCCCAGACTGAGCGGTAGCACCGTCCAGACTGAGCAGTAGCACCGCTTAGTGACAGATGACAGGCAGTAGTACCGCCCAGTTATGGTGGTGGTACCACCAGGAACCCGAAAATCCAAGAATGGACACTTTTGAGCTCCGAATTCAAACTGATTGAGGATTATATAAACCCCACCCTTTTCTGCATGAAAGGAAACCGAAAGCTTGCTTTTATTCTGAGTATTTGAGAGCTTAAAAGTGTTGTAAAAGGTTAGAGTTCCTCTCCTTCTTTTCTTTCTAAGTCTTGATCATTCAATAGAGGAGTGAAAACTTATAAGGGTTGTCTCCTAAGCCTGTCAAAAGGAGAAAAGCTGTAAAAGGATGGTTGGTCTTCGCCTATTGAAGGAAGGCCTCTAGTGGATGTCGGTGACCTCATCGGAGGAGGAAGCCAAAAGTAGATGTAGGTCAAGATTGACCGAACCACTCTAAATCTCGGTTTGCATTTACATTCTAATCTTTATCTTAACTGCAAACTGCCTCCGTTGCTTTACATCAACTATACTTCCGTTTGCTCTCAAGTTAAAGATCTTTCCGAAACGGTTTTCGTTCGAAGTCTTTTTGAACCGACGAAAGTTTTCCACTATACTAATTCAACCCCCCCTCCCCCCCCCTTCCCCTCTTAGTGCTCTTGATCCTAACATGATGTACTCAGGAATCAAGGCAAGCGTTTATTGATATTGGGTGATTGGATGAGGAAAATTTTGATTCTGACCCATAGAAACTAGTGTTAGAGGTATACCTAATAAGACGACTTTTGACGCTTACATTAATTGGTCAGGGAGCGTGTCATTCATTCTAGAGCTCCAGTTATAAAACTATATGTGGCTAAGGAGGTGTTACAAATTGAATACATCATAGAAGATTGGGAGATCGGATTATTAGTGATTTATTGATGATATGGTTGATGATATTGTTGATGATGATGTTCTACTAAATTAGATATAAACATATGATAGACAATTGAATAAAGAAAATTATTTTGATAAAAAAATATATAGACGTATGATAGACAGTTTATTATATCTCATTGTAACTAGACCTGATAAAATATTTAGTGTTGGGCTTTGTATAAGATTTCAAGATAATTTTAAATAATCTCACTTTAAAACAATAAAAAGAATTTTTAGGTACAGGAACATCATTTCTAGGATTATGATATCCTAGATCTAATAACTTTGATTTGATTATTTATACTAATACTGACTTTGTATAATATAGAATAGAGAGAAAAAGTATATTTGGAACTCGTCAATTCCTAGATCATGCACTTGTTTCTTGATCATCAAAGAAACAAAACTCTATCACACTATCTACAACTAAAGCTAAATATGTTACGGTATGTGCATGTTTTGTATAGGTAATTTGGATGAATAACACTTTAGAAGATTATGGACTTTACTTAAAAATCATCTATCTAAAATGATAATACTAATTCAATTTGTTTGACAAAGAATCATATATAACACTTTAGGACTAAGCACATTCATATTAAATATCATTTTATTAGGGATCAATTGATGAAACTAATGATAAGTTTATTGGACTAAATATGTTTTTAAGATAAGTGATACAAGAAATACTTCAAGATTGATGCTTGCATGAGATGTTTCTTAGTAGTCACATGCCTAAGACAATCCAAGCTAAGGCCATGAAAGTGCAACACGCTTGTGATATCCATTCATAAAAGGATCAATTGCATTCTCCTAGGGACCCACATGGAGAATCAGTGGGTTAGTGAACGTGAATGCATAGGCAAACTAATCATCACTCTCTCAAGCATAAACTTGGAAAAGCACAACAATATTAACACAAACACTTTATGAATAATGCAATACAAAAATAGACTTCATAAATTCAAAACAACATGACAAGTGAGTGCACATGCTACATTGGTAGTTGAGCAATACGATGACCCATCCTTAAATATTACCTGATATGGTTGATATTTCGAGTGACATCTCTATTCAAGTAGATCCCAACAAGTTACGATCTAGGGGCTTCATTTTTTTAATAAAAATGGTTTTTCCTTGACCACGAGCTATGATTACAGGACATAAAATCCAATAAAACCCAACCAACATGGAGTTGTCTAACCAAATATAAGCCACTTACATATTATCTAAGATATGTATAAATTGAAAGCATGAACATTACGTTAAACACATTTGCTATAAATAACCCGTAACAATACAAATGCATCTCTATTGGCTTATATGGTTTATGTAACCTTGATGTATCTCAAGGTTTCTCCTTGGGCCATTTCAAGAATCGCTCAAAATATATAAAGCTTCAACTGAAACCAAACAATAGCACGAGAAAACAGAAATAAAGGCCACTACTACTAAATGCATTTATTAGTCTTAGGTGGTGCACCCAAACCAAATAAAGATCTAGTGCATATTGTTTCTGTACTTTGTATAGTAAACTCTAATCTTGTGGGTTTAATCCACTGACACATGCTCTAATCTCCAAGTTATACTCCAAAAAAAAGAAGAAAATATGACATTAAATAAAGATACTGAACAATTATTAAATTTTGGGCAGTTTAATTTATTTATTAACTTATAAAAATTAAGTTAGGGATACAGGAAGCAATACTCATCAATATATATAGTCAACATAATATGTAGACTCACTTCAATGTGGTGATGTTATAATAGAACAAAATAAGAAAAATACTATTGAATTTGCATCACTATAAATTTTGAGGTGCAGAGAAGCCTTGCCAAACTTAGTATTTTAAGCTACCTATCTCGGCCATATTATTGTAATTTAACACTACGTACTGACAAGGTGACCATAGCCGATTCTGCTTCAACATATCGATCATCACAGTCTCTCCTGTCTTCATGTCGTGACAACACAACATTGCCTTCCTCCCCATAGAAAATAATGTCAGATCCATGAATACCTTATCACCCCCACAGAATGGTAGAAGTGAAAAAGAGTCAATGTCCCTAATGTTCAAAAAATCTAAAACATGGTACCTCTTAACCCATTCTCCATCCTTACTCATCATCCATATGAAAATTGAATTATTTTTCATAAATAGAGTGCTTGTCAAAATCTCTTCATCAGTTACCCCGATACATTGACAATAAACATCATCATAATATATTGGAATGTCTTCATATTCTATTGGCGACATCATGCTGCCTGAGATATTTTTATCAAGGTCAAACCATATTATGTAGGGAAAATAGTTCCAATATATGATGCCTCTAGCGTACAACACATTCCACCGATACCTATTGAACTCATCTTTGATAACAAGCTTCTGATCAGAAATTATCCATTTCCCTATGTCCGAAGAGTATATCTTGAACTCAATCTCAGTAAATTCTAGTTCATTGTCTTCTACTAGTTTTATTAGTCTATAACGGGTCGAAGTAGTTGATGGTTCAAAGGCCAGGCCAATATTCTCATAAACTTGAACTTGACTTTCAGGGATGGCATGACCCTCTTTTGTCACTGGATTCCACACATAATGGAAGGTGCTCTCGTCTTCATACATGTACCATTCGTTTTCGTTTTGTTCCTCCCATCTTGTCAACAATAACAAGAGGAGGCCATTGGCAGAGGCAGCAATATACGCGGAACATCCAGCAATATACGCAGAACATCCATCAGGAAGGGAGAAAGACAACTTAGTTTCACAAACGTCATGTTGCCCAATAAGGTTGACGGGCATAAAGTCAATATTGTGATCACATATCCACACAAAGCCAGGCAACCCACAACGGCGTGAGCGTTGGTGTGCGAATGTAGGATCATGGTTGATGAGATGATGCCATTTCTTATTGACGGACTTGAACTTGAAGAGAGCCTTATTGGTAAGCCATGGGAGAATTTCCAAATGAATGATGTCTTCGGGTATCGTTGCCACTATAGCGACCATGTTTCTCTATCAAGTAAGAGAAAATAATTAATAGGTAAATGTTATAAGCCAAAGAATAAAAAAAAATCAAAAAGAAAAAACCATCAAACATTCAAAAAAATGAACATATTGCTAGATATACTCCAATCAATAAAATTTGTCACAACTCAAAACCAAGGATGTGATGATTCAACAAATGCGTAACCACAGAATTTTAAATATTTAAACCCAAATCATACAGGTGGAAAATTACATTTATTTCAATTGACCTTATCACACAACTATAATTGAAATAATAGCAGTGAAAGATATTGCATAACAGCAGCGCTTAATAAGAAGGGGTTGGGTTTCATTAGTTGAGCTAGGAAGGTTACAACTAGATTAGACTAAACAGGACTTAGGTCTGAAATTTCATGTCTTTTCTATCCCCATGTACATCAAATGCAGAGTTATGCTTGTGCATGAATATGACATCACAATCCATCAAAAGAAAATAATTTGTTTCAAAAAATCTTCATTAATTTCTTAATCAAAATCCATCAAGATTTCACCTTAAATTGATAGAAAAATATAAGTACATGAAACCCATTAAAAAAATAAATACTGAAATAACAAATCAAAAGAACCTGAAAGCACATTTATGTAGTCTTAAAGTGAATTCTCATTCCTTCATCTACGAATTAGCAAAGATTTCTACTCATTTTTTAAGTAGTATTATACCTCATGCGAGCACATTAGTAGAGAAACTTGATGTACTGAACCAAAAAGCTGAACAAAATTAAACAACATAATATCTATTGGGCTGATTAAGACTATTTATAATATAAAAATATCTTAAAAGACACCTTAAAATGATTTTGTTCCAAGGGACACGTTCCTTCAATAAGGTGATTATTGTAATTACATAGAACTAATTTACATTTTTTTAATTTTCAGAAAACCTCCATCATAAGAAGCATACCTTCAAAATGGAGTGTGTAGTATATATAGGAAAAACAGATGGGACGCTCCCTAGAGGAAAGTCATACTAGACAATTAAATTATATATTTATTATATATAGGAAAGAAAAAAATCCCATCAATATGTTCTCCTCTAAAAAATCTCATATTTAGAAAACGACATAACTTCCAAAATAGTTCCCAAACCAAATTATCATTAGTTGCATGTTATGAGAAAAAGAAAACTGAAAGAGTAATTGCAGAATACTACAGTAAATCATACACAAAAATTAAAAAAAATAAAAGCAAAAACTAGCTTTAAAATGGGATAAATTTTAACATGTATTTTTTATAAAGATAATGTCAAGTGTGGTTGTCTGTTACTGAGGGATGAAGCCTATCAAATGAAGCTTGAATCCAATGTTTGATGTACTCAGGAATCACAGCAAGCATTATTGATATGATCACATTGGGTGATTGGATAAGGAAAATTTTGATTCCGACCCCTAGAAACCTAGTGTTAGAGGTATACCGAGAGCTCCTGTTATAAAACTATATGTGGCTAAGGAGGTGTTACAAATTGAATCCATCATAGACGATTGGGAGATGGGATTATTAGTGATTTATTGATGATATGGTTGATGATGATGTTCTAGTGTCAACTAGATGATGTTTTTAAAAGTAAAAATAAAAAAATTATTGCTGAAACTGATACGAAATAGTCCCTCAAAGCAAATTCAAAGATCCAAGTACAAACGATAACATTTTCTCCAAAGACTATAGAGCTTGTTGGCTCTAGCATGCGTAGACAATCAATTAGCTACATACCTTCCTCCATGAAATACATACGAGATTTTATAATAATGCATGATAGACAATAAATACAAAATGTTCATAATAATATTCAAAATTAGCCATGGGACAGAAGGTTGTTTACTAATGATATCCACCTTCATCATATAGACTGTCTCGATACGAACTCGATGGAGACCATCCTAATAAGCTAATAAGATAACTTTTGCCTCATAAACTATTGTCCTACTTCTTCAAATACTCTTAGAAAAACAACAAAAGCATTATCGTGTCTATCAGTGTCTAGCAATGAAGTCAATACTGCAATTACAATTTAATTTGATCCAACGAAAAGCTAGTTTTTCCCATTTAACAAGGAAGGACAACGACTAACATTTCTCACAAATTCATTTTGGTTCATCATATCATGAATTTATGAGACAATTTTGAAAAATAAACCAAAAATAGATTATATCAAATTATTAAAAATAGAATCATTGGAGCCCTCAATAAGACCATAAATTTGTAGCAATAAAAGATATTTGTCAAGAAGCCTCAAAATCTGGCAGAAGTAAACCCACATTAATCTAAAGGCCAGCTAGCCAATAATCAAAAAGATGAAAATGTAAACCAAGTCAATTCTCACAAAGAGACTAAAAAGCCAAGTGAGTTAGAATAATGAAACAACACATGTTCAGTATATTCTAAATCAATATTACAAAAAGTGCATAGCTTGCACTCACAAATTCCTAACACTGCAAGCCAATCTGATGTTGGGAGGTGATGATAAAGCAAATTCCAACAAAATACCTTCACTCTAGGCATAATGGGTAGCTATCAGATATATCACCACCAATCCCATACATCCTGAAGGAATAATGAAGGAGATTGTAAGAATCGAAAAGCTTACTTTGTAGTAGCTATGTGATGACAATATCTCCAACACCATCAGCACTTGAAGTGCTAAGTACATCTACACTTATAATTTGCTAAGAAGAGGGGCCAAACAAATCCTGAAGCAGTTGAAAATCTTAACATCCATGAGAAAGTAATTCAAAGACCATACTAGACTTATTTATCATGTTAACATTAATAAAAGTAGGCTTGAGATTAATAGGGATATCAAAAATCTAGGGATCAAAACAAATGGTAGCAGAAGAATTAAAACAAAAAAATATCATAAAATCAGGTTTCAGTTTTTCCAAAGCCTTAAGAAAAAATCTCTGAGTCCAGTTGTATTTGTCATGCATAAATAAATTCCAAGGATCAACATGACCATACCTAGCCTTGATTATACCAACCCAAATAGAATCAATGTCATTAAAATATTACAATATACATTTAGCATGTGATGCAAATTTAGTTAAATGAAGATCATGTATACCATCTCCCAAGATAACAAATGAAGGCTACAAGAGTAGTTGGCCTTATGCAAAGAAATTATTTAATAATATGATTAATATCTTTAAGGATAAAATCAAGCATCCAGTAAGCACTTAAAGTATGTAAAGCAAGTGACTTAAGCATATAATTTATAAGAGTTAAGAAGTTAACTTTCTAAGAGTTAAATCTATTTCTAACATTTTGAGTAGTATGATTAATATCTATTTCTGTTAGGAATCCGACGAAGAGCAATGAAGGATCACAAATACTTGAAAGAAAAATTACCCTCTCTGATACCCAAAAAATTATAAATATCTCTTTTAGTATCTTGACAAGTTGACTTAGAAAAAGAAAATATTAAACTTTTGAAGATTAACTTTTAAATTAGAAATGCTCTCAAAAGTTCTAAAAGTTGGAATGGTGTTTTCACAAGACTTAGGGATAACTCATAAACATAGAATCATATCATCAACATAAAACAAATTACAAAGTCTAAAAGCATGTTTAAGGCAAAAATAGTGTAATATGAGTCTCAGTACAAGAATTCTTAAAGAGAAAAGGTAAAGAACATTACAAAGAGCGATCAGACGGTAGTATCCAACTTTAGAACTATTAAAATTTCTTAGTAATAAATACTAAGAAAGTTTTACCCCACCTAGGTGGGAGACAAGCCTCACTGTTAAATGTGTTGAAGGCTTCAAAAATACTCTCTTTAATGGTGTCCTGATAGGAATTAAAAAAATTCAACGATAAACCCATCGGACCCTGGTCTTTTACCTAACCCTATTTGATTGAGGGCCCCATGAATTTCACTAAAGGTGAACCTTCTGAGAAGATTGTCCTGCTTCTCATTGGGAATTTGGGGAAGGGGTGGGCAATCCCACCAACTTCTCAACTTTGAAGGGACAAAGACCCCACAAAGATTTTTATACCAAATGACAAAATGTTGAGTGATCTCCCTCCCACCCCTAATCCTAGTGCCATAGTCCAAAATAATGTGAGAAATATGGTTTTGGGTTCTACTATGATTGATAACTCTATAAAAGAATTTAGTATTTAGATTCCCTTCCCAGATCCATTGGGTTTTGGCAATGGTCCATCGTTTGTGATACAATTGGCAATCAAGGGCCACGGTTCTATTGTGGAGACAGGTCAGCCTTTTGCCCTCTTCCTCAGTCAGACTCAAACTATCGTCCTTAGATTCCAGTATTTTGATTTCTTTGCAGGTTTCCCTAATCCTTAGTTCTATACTTCTCTCATGTTTTCTCCACCTTTCAATGTTCAGATGAGTTGCATTCAGGTTGTGATAAATTTGCTCACCCAGACTTCTGGACTTAGGTAAGTTATTCCAGGTGTCTTGCACTAATGTTCTAAGCTACTAGTTGTCAGACCAATGGGATTCATATCTAAAAATCCTACTCCTTTTCTCTTCTAGGCTTTGGATCTTAACCTTAGTGAGGATTGGGCAGTTATCAGAAGCCACCCGACTCAGATGAAAAAGGTTAATGTGCTTAAAATCATCAAACCAACAACTATTGATAAACACCCTATCTAACCTGGAAGAAATTTCAAAAGAATCAAATATGTTATTACACCAGGTGTGTCTATTACCATGAAAACCAATGTCTATCATAGCGGAACAGGAAATAAAATTTCTGAAGTCTAAAATCGATTGGGAAAGGGTGAATGGCTTTCTCCTAGACTTGTCCTCTGGTTGGGAAATCATATTCATATCCCTGCAAATAATCCAGAGGACTTTAGCAAACTCATAAGAACACAACATGTTCTAAAGATTTCTACATAAAAAAAACGGAGTACTCACATAAATAGCAATAAAAATTCAAGGAGCCTGACCTATGGCATTAAAGACTAAGCTTAAAAATTATTTGTTTTTACTGACCAAACTTGCTTGAAGTCGTTCCTCATCCCAACAAATCAAAATACCCCTGGATCTGCCCTTTGTCTCCATGAAATCTGCAGCCCAACGTCGCCCAAGTCTTTTGAGGAAGCAGATGGAACCTTCTGTACTAAGATGGGTCTCCAACAGAGTGAACACTGTTAGATTATGCTCTTTGATAAGGTATTTAAGGTGAGCTACACAGTCTTTCTTGGTTGCCCTCTTGTAATTCTATGACAACAAATTCATGAACATTAGTTAAAAGCATCGATTTCTAGCTCATGGGGGCAGGAGCCATATGGGTTCCCAAATTCTTTTACACTATTTTGAGTTTCTTCTTCTTAGATCTATATTTCAAAAAACTCAAAAGGGGGTTAGGACTTCCCTGAGGTGGCTTCCGTCGTGCTTTTGGACCATAACTGCATTCCATCCTCATTCATTCGGGATCATCCTCCTCCAACACGAAACCAGAATCCACATCGTGGATCTCCTTGGATGCCTGACGAAACACTTCGGCTGCCTTCTCCGCTAGTTCCTAGGACGAACAGCGAGAGGTGGATTTGTGTCTGCCTCCAGCCTCTTGCTCCTTGCGATGGTTGGCTTGGAAGAGGAGACATCAGCATTAGGGTGGCCGTTCTCTATCATTGACTCTGCCGCACGAAGGGCAGAGAAGGGGTTTTCCAAGATACGGTCAACTATCTTTTTGCCCACTGGTAACATTAGCGTTAGCTTTATATGACAGGTCTTTCCGTCCTAATGCAGGCTCCTTTGGCATCCAACGGCTGGCAGACTGTTGATTTGATATTTGATCTGGTTTGTTGGACTGGCCGTTGAATCAGATTTGCTGTTTTCGAAGGTGATTAAGCTATCCAGCATTATTCCTTTCTTGGCGATTGATACAACATAGTCGCTAATGTACTTTTCATATGTGACTAGCAGTATTCCTTCATGAAACACAAACAATCAGACAACGTCCGATTAGTCACCTGTAGGTAAAGAACAAGCATGCTAGAATCGCTCAACATACTAATGGAATCTTGTATGAATTCCATTCTATCATGGTGTCACGATCTAACATGGACAAACTCTTTAGATGGACTCAAGGTGTATTCAACAAATTTATAGATGAGAAGGGCAACTTGAAAGCCAGCCTTCGCGACTAGACTGAAGGATTGCTGAGCTTCTACCTGGCTTCCCATCTTTCAAAGGAAAGCTCGCACTGAAAGAAGTTGTGGACTCCACAACTAAACACCTCATGGTGGAATCACTGTAACCTCATTTCAGGGACATAGCCCATGCCTTGGAACCCCACCGAACTAAAGGATGCCGAGGTTACGGTCCTGGTGGTTCATAGAGACATGCCAAAGGGAAGGAAAGATGAGCCCTTTCATACTTGAATTGGCTAAGTTGCACTTTAACATGGTAGAGAGGATACAAAAAAGTGGGAACCCAAAGAACTGTCGAGGTATTTTGAGCTTGGTTTGCTTGAATCATGTCTTCTACTTTGTGCCTTTTAAGGAAAACTCATCTTATTGCAGCTTGTCATGCGGTTGTCAAATCGAAATAGAGAGTGAGACCGAAATAATATGACTGTCACCCGAGCCCAACAATAATAGTAAACCCAGAGAAAATATTTAGCCCATAGCGCATAATATTTTCTTGGATCTAGCTTGTTATAGAGGTACATTAATTTACTATTACTCAGGTTTTACTATTTATCCGTGACTCTACTTTCCACCTTAGTCTTGAATGATGGAGGGATCAGGTCGGGCATCCCACCCAGCTCTAATCTTTTTATAAGTTGACTCTGAAGAGAACACCAGAGTCATATTCTCAGATATTTCTAGACTCTTGCACTCATGGTTTAGAATCGAGTCAAGCTAACAAAGAAAACACCGATAACTACATCATCATTTTGGTGCTAGGAGGGTTCTATGTCACACCAACTTTCACCTAAGGAGGCTAACAATTGATATTTCAATTTTAGGCACCTCTACCTCCATCTAAACCCCTAAACAGTATGAGCAATTGTTCAACAATCATGGTCTGTCCTCTCCAATAGTTATGCCGGCCCACATGTTGGTTCCAATGGAGATCTTCCTGAACCTTGTTCAATGAGTCTAAACATTGATATGGATGATGCTATCAATTGTTCCTTGCTACTATAACTAGCTTAGTCACAGTGGCACCTCGTACACCTATTAAGCCTCCTCAACTAGCCCAGACTCAAGTTATCGTTAATGGCTCAACCAAAGGGGTCCCAAGATCTCCGACCATTAAGTTTAGTGGACCGCGCCCCTCATAATTGATGATTCCTAAGTCCAAGGCTCAATTAGTGGACTCAAAATAGGGCACAACTTCAATAGATGGACTAGTGCTCGAAAGATATGCACCATGAGTTTCACTCGAGCAATTTGACCAGCTTTGCCTCAATCAAATTCACATTCACTCGATAAATGTAGGAAGAGCCTATCCCCCCAAGCTTACAACTACTAAATTTAGAAGTGTTTGATAGAGCTGTTAACCTAGTGGAGCATGTGATAACTTTCCAAACTCATATGGCACTATATGACATATCTAATGCCTTGATGTGTCGAGCTTTCCCTATACCTAAAGCTCATGTGGTAGCTTTCCAAACTCATATGACACTATATGACACATCTAATGCTTTGATGTGTCGAGCTTTCCCTATAACCTAAAGCTCTATTAGTGAACTCCTCCGCACAACTCGTAAGGGAGTTCTAAAAATATTTTGTAGGAAACATCTGTCCTTGATGCTCAACTGTTGCCCTTCTCCACATCTGATAGGTAGAGGGTAAGCCATTGGAAGAGTTTATCACCAAATTTACTAATAAAGCTCTGGGGTTACAAATGCTTATCCCTCGATCCTCATATAGGTATTTATGATGGGGCTTACACACTTTGGGTTATTTAAGTTGTTGATAGAGAGAGAGTTGGCCACCGTATCCAATATACTATAGAAAATCAACTAATACATTATCGCCAATGTGATGGTGGCTAGGAGACATGAAGAGTCTCAAAAGTGCATGAAACCATATCATGCCCCACTTGCCTTGATGTCAAGATCCCCTCAATGTCGAGTACTAGATCAAGCAAGACTTTCTTGGCCAAGGGCCAACCTCACCCTCCTCAACATGTCTTGTACTAAAGTCTTCCTATAGATCTAAGAAGAAGGGACGCCCCAAAATCCCCACCCCCTAAGATCTAACTCAAGAAAAAGAGATAATTCCAAATATTATCGTTTCTATGAGGATCATGGTTATGACACAAAGGACTACTTTAACCTTAAGGAGCAAATAGAGGAATTTATATGATAGGCTCACCTTGACCGCTTTCTCCGTCGAAGGCAAGAGCCCTCTCTAAAGCTCGAGGGACTCATTGTCATGCCTCCTAAATTAACGCATTCAAGAGGCGTGAACCCATTTTAAATCAAGAATATTATAATTCATCAGCAATCCAATCCATAATCCAAACTAACATTTGAAGATACTAAAAAATATTTAAATATCATAATTCACAAACATAAAACATGTGTAGTTTATAATTATACATCACATCACTCGATAATTCATGAAAGCCAAAGCCACTTTAACAAAATATTAACTACACTTATAAATTTACTAATATGAGAATCTATACAAACATAAAACCAACTATTTATCATAAGTTTATATCATCATAGACTAAACATTTCAAAATTCTAAACATGAGAAGACTTTCAAGTATTTACAAGATACATCAATTCAGATGTATTAGTAATATTTCATTATAATATAAAATATACTTATATTGTAACCACATATCAACCAACAAGACTTGCCCACAATTTAAATAGCTTTCTATTACCTCAACCCAATTCTAACATTTTAGCAAACAATAAGTTATCCTAAAAAAATTATATAATAATAGAGTGAGAATACAAAGCTCAACAAGTGACTAACAAGTAAGAGAGAGAATAGCTTTAAATAAACTTGATATCAAAATGCAAGGTAAGATATAAAAATTTATGGATATCTACTCATTGAATACATAATCACAATGTCATTTTATTCAAGGGGTGTTCTATTCATAATGATAGAGTAAAAAGTAATTGGAGTAAAAAGTAATTGGAGTATATTAATGACATATGAAATATCTTGGAGTATCTCAATGGTATTTGAAATATTTTAAAATATATTAATAGCGTATGAAACATTTTGGTGGCATAAGAAGCATTTCGGAATATATCAATGACATATGAAATATTTGGGAACATATCAAAAGAATAAATATGAAATAGAAGCTCAAATGTCATATTTAACATTACATTTATTTCATTCTTATCGAAAGAATAAATAGAAAACTCATAAACTCATAAACAATTCTTTGGATATCAAATAAAAAACACATAAGGTATAGTGGGATCATAGACAAGCTCATATATTCCTAAATAACCATCAAATAGAAGTCTTCCACATTTGGTAGCTTCATCCATCCACGTCTGGATGAAATCAAAGGAGATTGACAGAACATTGCGAGCTCTAAGCATACCCCCATTTACCATTTATGATAAAGGTTCACATTATCCCACAAAAACTGAAATACAAAAAGATATTATGAGTAATAAAGTTGGTACATATCGGAAGCATATACGGAACAACAAAATATGTATATGTCTATGAGTAAAAATGCACCCAAGAGGTCTCCCTCAAACTAAGTATGAAAAATATATTCTAGACACCTTCATATATATATATATATATATATATATATATATATATCTTCCTTGAACTAAGCATGAAAAATATACCAAAATGCCTCCCTTAAACTTACCCCCAATTGTAGCTCGCTACGTGATTGCTAGCTTAACATGGAGAGTAGAGTTGACATGACAATCACCTAGGCCTAACAGTAGTAGTAAGCTCAAAAGAAACTATTATGTCAATACGGTAAAATATTCTCTTGAGACCAATCTACTGTAAAGGCTCATTAATGACTTTATTTTTTTATCTCGACCCTAACTTTGATGTGAGAAGGACTAGGACACGCCTGATCTTTTTGCAAGTTGACTCCGAAGCAAATACCAGAATCACCTTTTCATTCTTTTTTCTTATTCTGACACACGTAGCCCTAGATCAAGGCGTCACCGACAGCCAATCATCATTCAGCATGCAGTAGATGAAATTTCAACGATCATCGATTCTTGACGACATCTACTCTGATGGATGTTAATGCAACGGACAAAACTTCCAGAGTGCATTCTAGCCCTTTTCAACACTGCAAATGACACCGCATACAATGTTATAAAAGAGACTGGACATAATTCCACACCTAAAAGAAGCAGTAACATATCAATCCTTTTCTCCCTCTTTTGTGCATCAATCATGCAGTTCCATTTTCTAAGGAATGCTACTCTTGGTTTCAGTGGGCAGATCTATGCAAGGCATACACGGTGGAAAGAAGGTAATACCATCATGGCTACATACCCTTGCTGGGGGAATACTTGGAAAACGCAGTGATGTTAATAAAAGGCCCCCTGATATTGACTCTTGCTTAATGTACGAGCGACAATGCAACTCAAGAGCACTTGAAGGTTTCTACAGTTGCCGTGAGATTGCAAGATCGTCATCCATGATCTTTCGACTTTGAGATAATTTGGGTACTTCCACGGTTTGCGAATTGCGCCATACTTATCATTAGTTCGTCAATCAACGCAACAAAGAGTTCACACAGTTTCTCCTGCATTGGGTGTTTTTTTTGTACAGGACGAGCTTCAAAGAGGCGATGTGCCCAAATCGTGTTGCTTGCATGAGACCGGTGTTTTGGAGGATGCGACTCGTGAGCACATCAGGAGGTTGATTAGGGAGAATTGGAGAGCAATAAAGGGGGATCGAAATTTCATTTATCGTAGGTGAGAAAGTGCAACAGCATATTGAAGAACTCCTTGCCGTTGTGCCACTCCCTCTACTCTCTCTCTCTCTC